TCTTCAGCCTGGTGGCTCCCTTCACCTCTGGTGTCCACCATTTGGTTCGGGGGTTACCACCACGGCAGGCACCAACCACCTTGCGCATCACACTTACTGTTTTTCAAATATTTATCTATTGCTATTCTGCGCTGCATTGTCTCACATTATGTCATTTCTCCTTTGTCTTCTTCTGTTTTACTGGCAGTTGGAAACCCATTTAATTAGAGCAGGTAGTTGTACTGCCCTCTAGTGGAAGAGAATGTTATTGTTCCGCCCGTTACTCATGCCGATAGCTTAGAGGACCAATCAGGTGGAACCAGATAACCGTCCACGGCACACCTGTGGATCACCTGACACACCTATGTGCCAAGGCCCAGTGGTTGGGAAACACTGCTGTAATGGCATGGTACAATTCAACATTATATAGCATCATGCTAGCTTGATCTTAAAATAAATAGTGACAAATTACATTAGAAGCAATATCAGGAGACAGATCGTCTCGAGACTTTGCTCTAAAATCTAAAAGAAATTTTTTAAATATGTACCTTTTACTGCGTCAGGTCATCTATAGGCACACAGAGCTACCCAGACATACGACAATTAAACGTTGAGGGTACATTTGTGTATATCAGACTAAACTCCTGACTAAACTCCCATTTCTGAAAATCGGGAGCTTCCTAAAAAGCCTGCTGTAAGTGACACCAACAGGAGGCCAGAGAGCCACCAGATCATTATTAAGCCCAAATGAATCAAACTAATCCTACACTTTGGCCGTATTATTGTTTTACATGATAACAGGACTCAAACTTCAGAAGTTTTAAGAGACACAGATGGCAGCAGATGCATACAACTGCAGGAAGTCTTACTGCGAGTGGAAGCACCATTAATATTTCTCACAAGAGAAATGACTTCAACAGAAAAATGCCAAAGAGTTACTGGAGGACTGATGAAGTCTTTAGGTACAACACTGAACCAGCAAGTACTTATTTTCCAGACAACTCGCTGCTTTCATTCTTTAAGGCTGTGTAAAAGTCACCTGGAATATGTACATACTGCTGTACATAAAGTCTGCTTGTTCAGTGAAATTATACTTGATAAGCTTGATAAGCAACGTTTATGACGAGCTTCACAAGCTCAGTATGAGCTCAGACGGTGGTTCAGCCACAGAACTGATGAAACCTGATTTACAGGTGTTTGAGTCTTTAAAATCCTTTGTGAAGAACAACATGATCGTGCTAATGTGCAGATGGAGGCCTTAATAATTACTGGACTTTCCAGCAGCAGGATTGCAACCAAACCAGGTTCAGAAACCAACACTAGAACATCCTTGGATTGCCACCTGAGTCCCTGCATTTGACTTGAAAAAGATTTGGCAGGAATGAAGACGAGGGTGTACTCTGCCATAGATCCAGCTGGCTGACTGCATGAATGTAGCTGAGCTTGTCTCAATGTAGGGACACGGGAGAAAACAAAATCCACGTGGGAGAAAAAACACTAATCTTTGTCTTGTAAACGTAATTATTTGGTGTTTAAAACCACTCGATCAGTGTATGTGCAGATTTTATTTATGCAGCTGCAGTTTGACTTTGTAACAGTTTAATTTCTGATAGTTTGATAGTTCTTGTGTTACATACATACTGTACTTATTACTTTTTGCTTGTGAATTTATTACTGTATTTCCATTGTGAGTAATTCATGAATATGGATTTGTCACAAAGCCCAAAGGCATTTCCTTTTAGTCATATGTGTCAGGTATGCATGTCTTTTAAACTGTCAGCTGTTCACAGAAACATAAATCCAAACCAAAGCGCCTCCAGCTTCAATCGTTTACTCTCTGGCCAACAAACGGACTTTGACATGTAGAACAGGAAGAGTGCGGCTCTAAAGGAAAAGCTACAGACGCTGGACAATTTCATAATCTTAGATCGGGATTACCCACTGTATGTGTTAGCGCCATAGACACGTATGACACATGCTCAGAGCTGTGATATGTGTATTAAGCATTGATGTGCAAACAATAGTGAGTTAAACATGTTGGTGCAATGGGGATCTCACTTTTGGACACAGGTGAACTTACCTTGCTGGAACTCAGAGAGCTTCTTCATCGCCTCGTCTCGCTCCTCTTCCAGCCTCTTGAACTTATGTAAGACACAGAGTAGCTTCAGTTCATCATTAACCTTTATGCAATGCCACAGCTCAGTCTGGAAAAGCAGGTCATTTAAATGCAATGACAATATATAAAAGTATGTAGATGTTAAGAAGGGAAAACCCCCTGATGGTCTCTGTGAGCACCTCAGACCTTTTGTTTAGCAGCCATGTTTAGTCCTACGTGTACCTAACCTTCCATAATACATGTGTAGATCAATTGTGCTAAACCAAACAAATGAAATAGATTGTTGTGCTACTTTGTCCTCATTCACTGTTGTTTCTGCCCTTAAATATCAGTAAATCATTATCTGGTCAAACTTCCTTCTAAACCGAGCCTTACAGATGATCCAGTTTGGCTTGATGCTAAAGATCAACACTGTGTGTTCAGCTTAAGTTTACTGGACGCACACTGAGCTCTGTTCACAGAGGATGTGGACACCGTTATAGCAGGTGGTTCATTATTAATCCTTCACTGCTCATAATAAAACAATACTGTACAATATCAATGATATTACTTCCTGGAATACTGTGTAGATTACAATGTTCATGAACAAGTATTGTTCCTATACTGGACGCCATGTTATTTGCTGAAACAGGGGGAAATGAGCACTAAAGGTCTAACTACGTTACCCAACATTAGCTTCACAACAGGACTGAAGTCAATATTGATTCTAATTCTATTGTAATTCTCCTGATCCGTGTTCTGTGTGAGGAATCACACGGGCTTTGAAGGATGATCTTAGTGTGAAAACGTTTTAGAAATGGAGCAGGGAAACAAAAGCTTGGCAGGTGACTCAGGCTCACCTGTGAAAAGCTCCATTGCTGTGGAACTCGTGATTGTTTCCAGTGTGCAACAGTCACAACAATATTGCAGCAATCATAAGAGGGACTACGCTTGGAGAGAAAAAAGTGATTTTTTTTTGCCATCGTTCATTCTCAGTGTTCGAAACAGTTAAAGACAAATATTACACACAGACTGACCTCATATCTGCTTAGTTTTAGACAATAACAAAAATGTGATCATGGCAGCTATTTAACACAACACTGAGTACTGGACGAGGTTATTATCAGCTCGATGCTTTTTAATCACTTTGAAACCAAAATATTTTGGTTAATGTTTTTATTGTTCAAATAAACAAAGAAAGAAGTGTTACCCTGCTGCTCGGCCAGCTTCTATTACTGTGAGCACCAACTGTTCTCATCTATCGCAGCTGTTACACTTGTTGCTACTGTAAGCGAGCTGGATCAGAGCTGATCGAGGTCTGCAGACTGTAAACATTAGATTGTAACACTTACTTCCATGGCTGTAGTTTCTTGCTTTCTCTGAAGATCCTCATACTCGTGCAGGGCTGTGGGGAGCAAAGGGTGCCAGTAAGCCATCGCCATCACTCAGTCACTTTAAAGAGCTCCTTTCATCTTCAAAGAGCCCAGTGGAAGCTTCTCTAGCATGTGATAATGTCTCATCCAGTCACACTTATGTCGTGTCACAGGACTATTATAGCACGCTATTTTGAATATAGTACCGTCTAAATATAACTGGCTTGCGTGCACGTAGTGCAGGAAACTACCTTCCATAATACACGTGTCGATAAATTGTGCTAAACCAAAAAAATGAAATAGATTGTTGTGCTACTTTGTAATAGGACTATATGTAAGAGCAATAAAAGGAAGGCTTTACTCCATCTGATCTGTACAACACGGTCTACTGTGTTCATCCTATTCCTGCTTTTCCTACGGCCATCAAACGTGTGCTGTACAGTCATTCCACCCTGGAAAAACTTACCATAACATTTGTGCTCATGATGACTGCACATAAACATCTGACCACAACTGTACATTACACTTGTTAGAAAGCTCGTTATCACACAAGTAAGGAGTTTGATTCACTTTCTCTTAGTCGAAGCAGTACACCGTGAACATGTGAAAACAGAAGGAACGTCCTCCTTTTCTTTTGTCCCGTTAATCAGTCACAGAGCTGATTGCACATTATGCTGACAGCTAGCTTGACGTAGTCACAACATTATGTTTTAACTTCAGTTATACTACAAAAACATGCCTCAAACATCATTATGCATCCTTACTCTAACACGGGCCAGGTTATATTACTGGTCGTAATGATTACACCAACTCCATCGTCCCAGCTTGGACTGTGCACTGTTCCCAAATAAAAAGCTGTGGGTGACTACGGACATCACAGCCCTCCTCAAGGACAAGAAGAGGGGCTTCAGAGCGGCACCAGAGAGAAGGTGAGAATGTTCAGGGAGTGTTGAGGGACAGGATCAGAGAGGCTAAGGACAAGTATAAGAGAAAGCTGGAGCAGGAACTCGAGACAACGGCGTGAAAGAGGTCTGCATGAAGGCCATCACTGGACTCAGGCTATCCAACTCTAAACTGGACTCTAAAGGTGGTGTCAGCCAGGCAGATGTTGTCCTGGACAATGCTGGATACCTCCAGGTTGGCCTACAGTGATGCACAGACACCAAACACGTTTGGTGGACGTTTAAACAGATATCAGATCAGAATCAGAATCAGAATCAGAAAGGGGTTTATTGCCAAATGTTGAGCAGGTTTAACAC